TGCCACCTTCACATCTGACAGAGTCACATTGGCCAAACAGTGTCATTGGTTTCTGCAACCCAAAAGAAAGGCGCTATAGCACCAGTGCCTTTCTTGAGGTCCAGCTTTGGCTGCTGGACTTGGTAGTAACTCTTGTCTTTCAGGTTGGTCACAACCACCTTGGCTTTCTTCAATTGCTCAGCTGTAATCTTTTGCACCATACCAAATGGGAAAATCTTCAAACTGACCTTTCTGACTGGCTTTGCAGCATAAACCTTGTGGTCATCCATGAACAAAAGGGATTTCAAATCCACAGCTGCATCATCCCAAAAAATTATTGAGCAAGGCCAGCTGCACTTCATGAGAAGAGCAGGGGAAGCTGTTTGCATCACAGGTCCCAGCCACAGAAGCTATGGATGATAACAGTAGTGAAGCAGCTGGAGTTGCATCACATGCTCCAAGCTACAAACACCTGATGATAAACAATCAGGGAAGGGTCTAGGGGGGGGTTCCTAGTTGGGAGAGTGGGGGGGGTCGAGCAAAAAAACTCAAAAATCTCCCCCCCAGAAATCCCTCTCTTCCACCTTCATAGTAAGAGGTCCTTGTTCCTTGCCTACATTGTGTGGCACATAAGCTTTTATTATTGTTTCGCTTTTTTTCAATAGCTAACAAAAATAAATATAGGAAAAGAACACACAGTCTATATATAAAAAAGTGATTTTATTAAAAGCAATAGCTTTTTGGAAGCACTGAAAAACGCAGGCCCCCACAGATTGCCTTTCTGTAAAAAAAGGTGTGTAAAAAAGTGGGTTTCCAACACCGTCCTTTCTCTGGGTTAGGTGGGAGGCCATCGCTAGTAGGTTGGAGGCCATTGCTATTAGGTTCACTTCTTCGCTGGCTCTGCTCTCCTGTGGCTGATGCCAAATGGTGATGCGGATGGAGCCTGAAAGACTGGAAGAAGCTCTGAGCATGTTCGAAGACATTCGAAGTGTTCTTCAGATTTTAAGAATTCGAAATCACATGGTGCATTTAGTGTGCCGCCAGACTGCAAGACGGAATCCACACATCAAGTGAGGTCTGGACTGATGGGCATCATCTGAAATAGCTGAAGTCGTAGCAGCTCCAAGACACCTCCCACAGCTTCAAGCAAAAACAGCGCAGTTCGGACCTGCTCGGCACACCCTCTTAGCAGTCTCTTTGTGGTGCCACTTTCAAACACAACTTGCCTATGCTCGCCCACCCTCGTTTTGCTTCACTCTTCGATGGCCTCCAACCTACTAGCGATCTTGCTACTAGTAGTAAGGCCAGGAGCCCCTATAGTAGCGTCCGATCGCTCCTAGTAGCGATGCCCTTGTTACTACTAGCGATGCACTTGTTACTACTAGCTTCTTGTTACTACTAGTAAGGCACCTGTTACTACTAGCGATGCCCTTGTTACTGCTGACTCTTTTTATCCTTTGCAGCACCATGCCAAGTGCTCAAGTACCGCTCGATGGACTCTAGCCCAGCGTGGGTAGCGGTAGCGTCCGCGCACAGCACGGAGCACAGCGGCCGAGTCCTGGAGGACGAGTGGGTCTCACAATGAGGACAAGTCTGGGATGGGCAAAGAGGCAGGAAGTAGCATGAAGTAGCTATATAAGTTTGTAAGAAAAAAGCAGAAGGAAAAGGAAGAAGGAAAAGGAGAAGGAAAAGGAAAAGGAAACAGTTGATGAGAAGGAGAAGGAAAATCGGGAGACGGTTTCGGCGACACTTTTTTCTTTTTTTAACGGTGCTGCAGTTCTGCTCAAGAAGAGCTGCTCAATGAGCTGAAGCACAGAGTGTCCCTTCTTTCAACAAGTTCGCTCACTATATGTGTAGACATGTTCTTATTAAGTTCCTCCTCGCTATGTTCAAACACATGATGCTTTTAGGCCGTGACATTTGCAAGTGCTATCAGTGTGATCTGAACACGGCGGCAAGAATTTCCGCAGCGCCGGTAGATACCTGTTGCTATGAACAAGAATGCAACTGCATTGGCTTTAAGTCTGGCCTCATCTCCAAGTCTTGCCAACATTCCAAGGCTACTAGGAGCAAGGACGCTACTAGGGGCTCCTGGCCTTACTACCAGGAACAAGAAGCTACTAGGAGCAAAGGGCATCGCTACGAACGGAGCAAGGAAGGCTACTAGAGGCAAGAAGCTACTAGTAACAGTCCGATACAGTGTACATCCTTTTGAACAACAAGAAGCTACTAGTAACACGTGCATCGCTTCTAGTAACAAGTGCCTTACTAGTAGTAACAAGGACGCTAGTAACAAGGGGCGTCACTAAATGAGTTTCAAATCTGAAGCGCCTTGATCCGATCGCCTTGCCTTTCACTACTCACAGCAACGCTATACCTGGAACCACATAAGTCACGCTTTTGAAGGTTTTAATGTAAAAAAAGGTCTACGAAAAGGGTTTTGGATTGGGTTCCTCTTTCCAGCCTCAACACGAGAAAACTACAGCACGGCTTTGGACCTCTCAGTCTTACACGCGAATGCAAAGCAAACTCCTCCTCGACAGGAAGATGTTGACAGAGTGCTGCTTCCTGACAGTTGCAACGACTAGGAACAAAGGGCATCGTTACTGGGACGCTACTAGGAGCAAATTTGACTGTCGTGTTCTTGCTGCTTCGAGTTGTAGTTTGTCTTTAGATGCCAAGAGCTCCTAGTAGCGATGCCCTTTGTTACTAGTAGCATCCTTGCTCCTACTAGCGATGGCCTCCAACCTACTAGCGATGTCTTAACTTGCTCCAGGTTTGTTTCGCTCGAATTGGTAGGACCTAGGCGTTTCAAAGAATTGCCTTGTAGCAAACTACAACTTGATTTTCTATTTTTTGCTCCCCCAGACATCCCAGACATCTTGGCAAGGCATTTCCAGACCCAGCAAGGCCCTCAAGAATGCTCTGCCCCAAAGGCGCTCTTTTCGAAGCAGGAAGCCCCTGGTAGCGATGCCCTTTGCTCCTAGTAGCGGATTCTTACTTTTCCTCTCTTTCTTTTCATGTTCTTTGCTCTTTGGACCTTTCCTTCTTCCTTCCTTTCTTTTTCCATCCTTTTTGCCGAGAATCAAATGTGTCGATGTCCGTCACAAAGGGAGCCAAGGCCAATGCCAACTGCCTAGGTGGAGTGTCAAAATGTTGCCAAACACATCATGCGCCATGAGCTCTTTTGTCAGAACAATCCCCTGCGGCTGGTACCGGAACGCAATTGAAGCTTTTTGAAGGTCTTGAACGACCGTGCTTTCTGTTAACAGTGGGCGATGCTTCACGCTTCACACTAGTGCCAAAGGCAATTTGGAGGAGAACTGTTGGAGTTATGGACAGTTTAAAAAAAAGGAATAGAGGAGGAGGATAGAGGAGGAGGAAAGGTCTTGAGGTCTAAAGAAAAGAAAAAAGGGAAGGAAGGAAGGAAGGAAGGACGGAAGGAAGGAAGGAAGAGAAAACGGAAGAGAAAAGAATGGTCTGAAGGTCTAAAGAAAAGGAACAAAAAGGGCAAAACTATACCAACGAGTATTTCCGTATCCACGTGTGCACGAAGGGGTGATGCAGGGACTGAAATGGTAGTCAAGAAAAACATCTCTGGGCGAGGGCAGCCTCAGGGCAGCTGTGAAGTGGTTGCACTTGGGTCAAACATTTTCATAGGGAATTTTTGTAGGGAACTATAGTACCTACAGAAGACATACTAGTAGCTTCTTGCTACTAGCAGGAGCCCCTAGTAGGGTCCTTGCTCCTAGTAGTAAGGACAGGAGCCCCTAGTAGCTTCTTTGTAACTACTAGTAAGGCACTTGTTACTAGTAGCGATGCACTTGTTCCTAGTAGCTTCTCGTTACTATAGCCAGGTGTTTTTGGTAGGCGAACGGAACTGAGGGATGGAACACTCAATGGACGGGTGTAGTTGGCGATGGGTTTCTGTGGGCTCTCTGTGGCGTCGCAACATTTAATATAATTCTAATTTGTTACTACTAGTAAGGCACTTGTTTCCAATAGCTTCTTGTTACTACTAGTAAGGCACTTGTTTCTAATAGCTTC